GCCTAGCAGACATCCTGACACAGATTAGCCAAAAGCCTTTGCTACGTTTCCTGTATGATTCCAGGCCTGTGTTTGGTGATTTTTATTAAGAAGTCTGTAAAAAGTGAAATGTGTGCATGTGTGCTGGATCCTCCATATTGAAGCTTTGTGTAACTGTTTCTCTGGGCGCTCTGGCAGCACGATCTCATAGCCCTTGTCTTGAGTGTCCCATCCATGGTGGCCAGCACCCTCATGCTGACTGACGCTGTGGCAGTGTTTTTTGTTGCTCAGAACAGCATCACCTTGTTGTATGAGCATGTCAGGTGTGAATGGTCTGACCTGGTCCTGGAGGGAGCACAAATTGATCAATTATTCATAGAATCATAGAATCCTAGGTTGGAAGGGACCTCAAGGATCATCTAGTTCAACCTTTCTAGGTAAGAGCACAGTCTAGACAAGATGGCCCAGCACCCTGTCCAGCTGAGTCTTAAAAGCGTCCAGTGTGGCAGCGTCAACCACTTCCCTGGGGAGATTATTCCAATGGTTGATTGTTCTCATTGTGAAAAATTTCCCTCTTATGTTCAATCGGAATCTCCCCAGGAGCAAATTGTGTCCATTCCCCCTTGTCCTCTCCATGTGACTCCTTGTAAAAAGGGAGTCTCCACCTTCCTTGTAGCTACCCCTTAGGTACCGGTACATAGTGATGAGATCCCCCTAAGCCTTCTTTTCTCTAGGTTGAACAAACCCAGTTCTCTCAGCCTGTCCTCATATGGCAGGCTTCCCAGTCCTTTGATCATCTTGGTAGCCCTTTTCTGGACCCCCTCCAGCCTGTCCACATCTTTTTTGTATAGTGGGAACCAGAACTGTACACAGTATTCCAGGTGTGGCCTGGCAAGTGCTGAGTAGAGTGGGATAATGACTTCTTTATCTCTGCTGGTGATGCCCCTTTTGATGCAGCCCAGCATCCTATTGCACTCCTTGGACGCAGCAGCATGCTGCTCGCTCACATTGAGCTTCCTCTCCACCAGGCCCCTTTCCACAGAGCTGCCCTCAGGCCAGGAGCTGTTGTTAGTTATTAGCAATGCTGACCAACGTGGGTGGTTAGAAGAGAGCGGGAGGTTTCTGCAGGGTGAACCGATGTAGCGGAGGGAAGGGGAGAGGCCCTGCGGGTTGCAGCCCCCAGCCGGAGGGCACTGCTGCCCTCCCACTCCGTAGGCGGTGCCCAGGCACAGCCTCATTTCTGGGAAATAGGTTGAAGTAGGAAGTGTGTGTTTTGGGTTTTTTTTTAAACATCAAAAAGCTTGCTCCTCCTCATTCTAGGACTAATTAAGCCGGCTCTCTTTCAGTTGTTTTCCAGTATTTATGTGTTTACATGGTTTCATAGTGCTTACCACAAACAGCCTGTGACTTGATCTCCTTTCACTATTACTCCATCCTTTTCACTCTCCCTAATTAACCATCACTGCCTCTTGTTTCCCTGTAAATACTTTTACATTCCTTTTATCCTTATTTTTCAGGGTGACTGTGTATTGGTTTATTTATTGTAACCAAAATGTAAGAATGAAACCATAACACAATCCTATACAACCCCTCCTATATTTTAATCTAATGGTTATATAAATGAGGAAATGGCAATATTAAGGATGCCTGTGCAAAGCACCCAAAGGCAAGCAAAACCAAAACCCAAACTCACCACCAAGAACAAATGCAAATATCTTTTCCTTAGGCCCATAAATAGCTCCTCTGTGACCTGTAGCTACCCTAAATAAATTCGTAACCTGAAAAGAAAAAAAAAATTATTTAACTTGATGATTTCTCTGCTGAAATTGGAAATGCTTAAAAGAGAAAGTCTGCTATCTATCAGACTGCAACCTGAACAGAAATTTTATAAATGTTTCCAGAAACAGAAACATTTGTGTAATTATAGCTCTTGTAATATACCCTGCTTTTGGTTATACCAAGTGTTCTTTTCTTCACATGTGATGAAAGCTGCCTGCACTAAGGAGACAGGACTTCCTGGATCAGGTGCCACATGCCAAAGAGCCTGACTTTCATTTTGTCAAACTCTGAGCCATTCCAAGCTGTATGGCAGCACTGCTGAAAGAAAGGGGAAGTGACTCTGAAAGGCTTGCAAGCACGGAGATACTCAGCATTACTTGCCTGCTTTATTACTCCTTCCGGCTTATTTTCCTTCTGATTTTTCACTGTAAGCAAGCTATCGCCATAAACCAACTTGTGCCAGCCATCAAGCTAACTCTGTTATACAGTACGTGTGACATTTTCCAAGCCTCTATTCTGCAGTCTGAAGAAGCTGTTGCACACTGCCATTAATCCATGTCTCTGCTGTGGTTCATTTTGTAGCTCTCTGTGAGTTTGGCTGGTCGCTGATTCCGCTGGCACTAGAAAAGGAGCAGCAAAACATTAGAGATGTCATGTTCATCACTGACAGAATCTTGTCTCAAATGCCATAGTATTTTCGTAATCCAGAGGAAATGAATGAGAGAGAGAAAATTTTCTCTTCCGTCAGGTGTGCTTGTAATTTGATGTGGGTCTTGTTCAAGGCAATACACAAACATAGGCAGTGAAGATTTCCTTCGAAGGTTGCTGTTTAATACTAACTTCTGCTTAGAACATGAAGAAAAAGAGAATGTGAGAATTTTCACTAGCACAGAGTTCAATAGAGGACTTCAGCTGTCTTAAAGATACTGTCCCAGGTTTTCACTCAGTTTACCGTCAAGCCTCCAGAGGGACAGGTAGTGAGGGGGAAGGAGCCCTTGTTGACCATGAATGGGGTGATTAATGGAGCCTTGCTATGGTACAGGACAACTGGCAGGAGGGAGGGGGGGAGGCAGAGACCAAATTTTTGGCAGGTTTGTGAAAGGCAGAACTGTTCTGTTGATCTGCATCCTTCTTATCATCTAAGGACAATGTTAAGTTTGAATTCAGCTCTGGCAAACGCTGTTTTTCTCTTTTGTGTTATAGATGCTGAAGCTTGTGTTTCTTTACTGTAGTTTGGGCTGTGGAGAGGCAATTAAGTGAATGCCCTTTAGTTTGGGAAAGCAGGAAAGAGAAGTAGTAAGTGCATTTAAAACAAAGATTTCTATAAGCAGCAAAGTTAATTAAATCTGTTTTCCTGTGTTTTAATGTCTCGAGGTCAGTCTCCTGAGTGGACTCTTTGATGAGCAAGGATGAGCTCTCATGATGGTATTGTTCTGATGGAGGCATTAGTATAGTTTGCATCCTCCAGCTAACTCCTGTTTTCAGGAAACCTGAAGGAACTATCCAGGATTGAAGTTGCTGAGTAAAATCTGCTAGAGAAGACACTAAAGACAGAGATCTAAAGCAAGGTGATTTTTGTACTTCCAAGTAATAGTTATGAAACCAAGCTAAAAATAAAAGAGAAAAATACAAATGCATTGTACAAGGCCACTGCGGCCTGCTTTCTTGCAGTCAGGTGTTTAGGATCTGTTGCCTGTCACACTACAGCTTGTAGTGAACTTTCAGCTTGTCACAAGCATTAAACAAGCGCATGTTTTATAGTAAACTGGAAGGCTTCTGGGAATAGATGAAAAGTTCCAGCCAAAGCTGAGTCAGAAGAATCTGGCAAACTTGCATGGGGATTCTCTGTAATAGGCATGTTTAAAAACCTCAGATAGCTCTGATGCTCTGAGAGTTAGTTTTTAAGAGGAGCATATATAAATTCAACGCATTTACATCCTCTTTCATGATAATTAAACCTTTATTACTGTTAAACATTTTTTGTAAAGGATATCCAGGTTACAGGCAAAAGTGCTACTGGAATCTTTATCTCACTATAAAACTTCAAGTAATTTTACTCAGATTTTAACTGTTCTAGCTGATTATTAGAGACAGTAAAAGATTCACTTTTTGAGGCAGGTGGCATTTGAGCCATCTGTTCCTCAGAGAGAAGAAAGCTGTTGACTGGCAAGATTGAGACAGGAGGTAAAAACACTTGCATCAAAATACTCAGTATAGCCTCAGAAATTAGGATGATTTGGTTAAACATCTGAATGGTCTTACTGTGAGAGAAGGGCCAGAGTCACTGCAATTAATCTTTTCAAGGAGATTTGTTTCTCAAGTGTCAGCCATAATATCTGTCAGTCAACAGCTTTGACAGAATACACCATTGATTATGTCCTTCATATTATAGTCACTGGTATATTGCCAATGTTTTCCCATGTAATCAGCTGAGTCATAGCTAGTCAGGCTCACAGTGTATTCCAGATGTCAGTGGCTAAATTCATGTTGCAAGTGTCTTTTCTTTTTATTACTAGTTGGTACTTCTTTCTTTATTTTGTTATTTATATCTCCAAGTTCTCTTGGTGAGAAAGATATTTGTGTGAATAGAATAAGAAAAGTGATTGATGTTCTATCTGTTATATATGTCCATCTGATTCGTGTTAATATGGAACAGTGCTAGGGCCGCATGATGACATACCCTTGTATAACCACAAGCCTAAGAAGGGCAGAGAGGTTAATGTATGTAGTTCTTACCTTGCACCCCCACCAGCCGCCTCCTCACAGGGGGAAGGGGAGGGGGGCTGGCTGGGCACCAGGGCGGCATCGGCCGCAGCCGGCTCCCCACCGGGGGGGG